TCCATCCGTCCATCCGTCCATCCGTCCATCCGTCCATCCGTCCATCCGTCCATATCTATTTCTTTATTCGTTTGTTTATTCAATCGTTCATTCATTCTTTCATTCCTTCATTCTTTTGTTAATCGTTCATTCATTCTTTCATTCCTTCATTCTTTTGTTAATTCGTTTGTTCTTTCATTAGTTCTTTTATTTCTTCATTCATTTACTCATTCACACATGTAAGCATATTTGCAGCTATACTGAAGTTTTTCTTGTGCTAAAACCAGTCTAAAACCAGTTTTTTGACGTCATACATACTTCATTAAGCCATCCAATTATTTCATTTAGTCTTAATTGAAGGCAATTTAGATTGCTTACATCAGCTAATTCTTCAGTTTTCGTTAGCTTTGCTACGAATTGCTTGTCTAACAAAATGAATGCGAAGAAAATGTGTTGGCCGACATGAAACGCCGTTTGGCGTTTTTGATTTTCTTTCTAGTTGCTTGGCAGCTAGCTAGCTCTCAGGGTAAGTAAACTAGAAATGTTAGAAATAGAATAACATTGATTAAAAATATTTATCGAGCTTCCTTTCTGGGCGCGCGCGTGCGCCATTCCAAATTTAAGATGAGCAACATTTTTTAACTTTTTTTTCCCCCCTACTATGGATTTAAACTTTTAGGCAAGATTTTTAAAGGTCTTTTTAGTACATCTTTATAGGGACGCCAGAAAATACTGGGAATTTTAAAAGAGAGAAACTGCATAAAAGTTAAAAAAGTTTAGGCCATAAAAATGAAACTCAAGGCAGCCAAATTTTTTTGGCAATAAGGTGGTATATTTTTGCTGAGATTTTATGTTAAGTTTTGTAATTATTGCTGAAAAAAGTATTTAAATACGTTATTCCAAAGAAGTCAACATGACAAGTAAAGAAGAAAGAAGAAAATGGAAAAGTTCTTGTCTGGGTTTTATAATTCGATTATTGGTGACGTCACACTGTAAATTGAGTAATTATTAGTCACTCTATCAGCCAATTACAGAATTAGATAAATCCTTTGATTATCCAATTAGAATCCAGTTAGTATCAATGTTGTTAGAAGGTTTTAGTAGCTACAGAATGTTTCGAAAACCAATTAAGGACATGATAAAAAATTAAACAAAACCAAAACAAAAGAAAGACAAAAAAGAAATAAAGAAAAAAAAACACAAAACAGGAAATTAAAGTCGTAAGACATTTTATTAGAGCCTCGAAGAAATTAAGAAAAAATGAAATAAAATAAAATAATGTATAATGAACGATGAAAAAATTAAAATTAGCAGTCTTACGTTAAATTTTAAGTGGTAGTTTTATTTTATTTTTATCTTATATATAAATAAACAATGCTTCCTTATTAGTAAATGTTTGGGTTGCGTAATAGTAGTCATAGGGTAGGTAGTCATAAGGTAGGTAGTCATAGGGTTAAGTAGTCATATAGGGTAGGTAGTCATAGGGTACGTAGTCATAGGGTAAGTAGTCACAGGGTAGGTAGTCATAG